GATTTTTGGCAATTGTTTTTAGTTGACAGCGTTATTAATCTTATTCAATATAACAATATGAATTGGAATTCTCCTTTTTTTAAGTAGTCTGTCAAGTGGCATCTTCTTTTTTCGTAGACATTTTAATTCTAATGGAAACATTAAATTAAGTATGTAACTTTAATTTTTTGAGTTAATGCATTTATTAATCAGCGTAGACAACTATTTAGACACGAAAACTGTAATCAGCAAGTATCCTCGGAAAAATAGCGACTCTGGTTATTCATCGAAACACCGATAAATATAATTACGAGGCATCTGCACAGGCAAACGCTTTATCTTGGTCATGTTATTATATATTGTCAATGGAGACAGCATATTTCTCGTGGAAAGTAATATTTATCAGAGCTTGATAATGGCCCGTCTCCACAGGCAAAAGTTTTTGCCTATCAACTGTCATTTTTATTGTCTGATATAAATTTTATCAGAGTCAAAATTTTATGCGTGTGCATTTTTTATCTTAATAAAAGCATTTGTTAGATGGCAATTTTTGCCAGATTTAATCGTTTAAAAAATTTATAAAGTATGCTATTTCATGTCCAAGTACATAGTAGCAAATATTTTAATAGAAAACAACTAAATTTTTGTTTTTATACTAAAATGTCAATAATATTGCCGCCACGAAGTCATCGCGCCAATGAAAATGTAGCTGTCAAAGTACCAAATTGCTAGCAATATTTATTCTGGATAAAAGCTCTGATAACTATTGCTTGCCAAGAGCAATATGCCGTATCCTTTGGCAAAATTTTGCCTGATAAAATTATCAAGATAAATACTTTTTTCCTATGGAGACTGTTTTATATTTTGATTTGTTTACCCCGAACGACGTCGGGTGCTCTGCTAGTGTATGTTTATTTACTCAGGCAGCTACATAAATGCAATCACGAATATATCTTAGCAATCGGAGCAAGCCAAGTCACTTTTCAGTTACTATTATTTGTGGATAGAAACATTTTAATTTAATCTACTTAAGAATTTGAAAATTTGATCGCACATATCTCATTTAACTAAATTGGTTTGGCTATTTGCATATGTCTCATAGCGAGTCTGAACTTTCCCTGCAGGGAAACCGCGGACTAGTGAATCAAATTTCTAGTTCCGTACTAGGTCTTTATCGCCAAAAAGGAACTAGTCCGATAGGAACTAGATCCCCACCAGGCCAAAATCGGCGAAAAGTGGTACTCTTAAAAAACTAATTTTTTTTCACTTTTTTTCACTATAAATCTATATCTAAAGTGACGAATTTAGAAATGGTTAGGAACTATAGAAAAAGGGATGCAGAACGAACTAGATCTTATTTGTCGAATTTAGAACCAGTTCGGAACTATCGAATAAGGGATGCAGCGGGGGGCTTGTTTACTTTACATAGATATGTGTTCGGCGGCTTTTTCGTTCAAATACGCTTCTATTCTGTGCTTCGCAGATGCTTTTTCATAGCTTGGTAATACAAAACTAAAATTTGTGTTAACATTTCAACATCTTGGGACAGTCTGGAATCTAAGAAATAACAGCGAGCAACTCTGCTACAGCTAAAGGTATGTAAACATACATTTCTTACAATCATTCAAACAAATTTAATTTCAAATTGAAAACACATTTCTTCCAAAACAACTTAAAACGCACACACGGAAGAACCAAACAGAATAAAAAATCATGATACTTTTTCTTTCGTCTGTCGATTTTAAAACTGGTTCGGAACTATAGAATTTAGGACTAGTTCGAAACTAACGAAAAAGGGATGCAGCGGGGGGCAATTGACACTTTCTAGGACATCGCCATGTTAAATTCGCCAGTTGCTTGCATGCAAAAGAGATTTATCGCGAACCAGTACTGGGTCTATTTGTACTAGAAGCGCACCAGTTCAGAACTAGAGATTTTCCCCAAAGGGTTAATTTAGGTCAAACACCAATTAAGTACATATGTACATACACACACAGCATACAACCCTAATAGGAAACTAATTGATCTCCAATAATATACGTATTAGATAAGTTGCCACTAACTAATACCCAATTGGAGACTAATCCTGGAATACTCTTTTTATAGATAACTCTCGCATAATCAGTATTATTACAATTGACTTACCTTAATTCATTAAGCGGTCGTGTACGACGATTGATTTTGTATTGGTTGTTATTGTTATTGTTGTTGTAGTAGTTGTGGGGAAGATACAAAGCAGACGATTTATTTTTTGTATATATTATGTATATATTTAATTAATCGTGTATGTAGAAGAATAAGAACGAGTAGTATAGTTTTAGATATAGTAGAAGGATTCAGGAAATGTCAGTTAGTATAAACGAACGAACAACAAATTGTTTTTCTATTGTTTTTTTTTTCATTTTATTCAATTTTATTTTTTATGCGAGCAATTCAACTAACATCACGAATTAACGAACTGTTTGTTTTTAATTTGTAGTGTTTGGATGTAATTAACAAATCAGAAACGCAACTAGTACATCCTCAAACACGGGAATAGCAAACGGCTGAAAATAGTGTAAACTCTACTTAATTGTCTTTTTATGCAACATATGTATCAAACAAATATGTATGTATATTAGGGTGGTCCTTAAATGTAGGAAGCAAATTTTTACATCAGATTTCCTAAGCCTCAACCCCTACGATGATGCTACTATAGTCGAAGATATCACATATAAATTTTGGTCCGGATTGAAGCCGGTTAAGGCATGTAGCACAGGGGTCAAAGTTCAGATTACCCTATGAAGACGTTTTAACCGACTCCAATCGGAACTAAAATTTATATGTGATATCCTCGACTTTGGTAGTATCAATTTTGGGCGTTAAATGAACAAAAATATTTATGATTTTTTGAATCCTTTGAGGCATCTGGTCTTTGACTTCTTTGCGACACGCCTTAACCGTCTTCAATCGGGACCAAAATTTATATGTGATATCTGTGACAGTGGTATTTCCGATTTAGGGATGAGACCTAAAAAAGCCTTCATTTGATTTTTTTAATGACCACCCTAATGTATATAGTGAACCACAAAAGTCTAGGCGCAGAGAAATATTCGCTAATTTTTACATCATACTGCAACGAAAAACATAAAATTATAATTTCTAAATTTTCTAAGCTAAATATGTAAATTTTAATCACTATTTTAAACTTTCTAACCTGATTTTTTATAATGATTTTGATTATCTAATGTTTTAGCTTATTAAAGTTTGAAGCTTCTTACAAATCTACTGTATTAGAATTTAATAAGCTGAAAAACTGCATACTCAAAATTTTTAGAATATTTTAAATTTTTATGAAAATTTATTTGAATTGTTGGAAAGTTTATTTTTAAGCTTTTTGTTGTAGTATGAACTTAACCTTTATGAAAAACTTGCAGAAATAAATTGAGCTAAAAACGTTGCATACATTGTCAAAAATTCTCTGTACCTAGACTTTCACTTTAGGTAGGTCTTGTGTTAACTTTTTTTTAAAATATAGTTGATCATTTGAAATATTAAAAAAAAAAATTATTTGCATTTGAAGGAACCCGTATTTTTTTGAACATAAAAAATATTTAGTCTACTATTTTTATTAAAATTTTAGTTTTTATACAAATAAGACAGAAATTAGAACTTAATATCCAAGCATGCAACAGAATTCGAATAGAACAGGTGTACAAATCCATTTTTATTTACTACATATTTTGAAATTTAAAAATATTTACAATTGTTTTAAAATGTTGGAAAATTTAATCTTTCGTCCCAGCCAGATAGACAAAAAATAACGAGGCTAAGTTGTTAACTAAAAATTAATTAAGATGTCATATTTTACAAAATATTTAGTCAAAATGATTTTCCAAGGCAACTATACATATATATATGTATATGTACATACATACATATGCAAGTATAGCCATATATTTATACACCATACTATCTTTTACACCTATTACACAGTACTGATGACAATCTCACATGGCTTTACAGTTCAAACATAAAAACTTAAAAAAATAAATAAATAAAAATAAATTTAAATTTCTCTATATTTCCATAAAAATTATGCCAGAACACGGTTTGCTATGAAGTTTTTCAAGGCTCAGGTAACTCTATAACAAAATCTATTTTTAGTCTAACGAGACTGAGTATTCGAAAAATAACGGGATCGGGCACTTACACATTTGCTAGTAGTGCTTGGCAGAGTTTCTCTTCCAACTTCTGGCGTGCATCTTGATGTTGTCACACAAAGGAGAGGAATCTACCTAAAGTTTACGGAAAAGGGATTTCATGAGAAGTTTTTTTTTAAAGCAACAAAATACACTCGGAGGTTTGCCATTGCCTGCCGTGGGGCAACCCCTATTAGAATAAAAATATATTTTTTTTGATGTTGTGCACACCTCAAACCACTCGACCACGTATGTACATTAGGGTGTTCCGTCCAAAATTTTTTTTGAGCTACACTGTCGCAAGAGGTATCAAAATTTAAATAATTTTACACATTTTAATAAAAAGGTAAAAAAACATCATAAAGTTTTCCAGTTATATGGGGGAAAACACTTTCCGACGTACAAACACTATCTATTGTTTCTTATTGTTTATTAAAAATTAAAATTGTTTAATTTGAAAGAAATAGCCTACTGCGCAAATAGGTTTTTTGTTAGGTTACCAACATATGTACATAACGCCCCGGTAAAAAGATTTTTCGTTTCGACACGCATTGTGATAGAACGATACGAGTACAGAGTACAGAATTTCGTTGCTTTTCATGAGTACTGAGCTTTTAATCAAACAAGTTTTTAAAAGGTATATACAAAATTTCGTTCTTTCAATTATATTGACAATTATTCAAAATTACCCAACAGTCATTGTGGCAAACTTTCGAAAATTATCTTCGATATCCAAGATAAATGCCGTGAAAATGAACGCAACGCTTATTTATTTTAATGCTGTCATAATTAAAAAAAAAAAAAACTCGAGAAAAATGGCCTTAAAATTTTTAATTTACATATACTCCTTTAGTAACAGTTAATACATATTTTGTTCAAATGAGCTACTGGTAATCGGCAAAGTTATGACATTTTAAGTTTTTTTCTTAACAGCGGTCGCCCCTCGGTAGGCAATGGCAAACCTCCGAGTATATTTCTGCCATGAAAAAGCTTCTCGTAAAATCCATTTGTCATTCGGTTAAAAATTTTTAAATAATTGGAAAACGAAGATATCAACTATTAAAAGCCTGATTTGTTTTTACTTTTCGCCTTTGCCTTAAAAATACTTGGAAGTACGAATATTATCGATACTTTTTTGCGGTACTGGCATTGATTCTTGTTTAAGGTATTCTAAATGAGTACTGGTATCGATACTTTTCTAAAAAGTTCTATCACTAAACACGCATAGGTGGACAATGATAGAAAGAGTGCTCAAGATATGAGAACTAAGCGTAGAAGAACCTGCTTACAGTTGAAGTGTGAAACTGACGTAACTTCACAAACGAGAAGGGAAATTTACGAATTTTTTGATTCTCGGCCAACAAACGGTTGCAGTGCCAAAGAAGAAACGGATCGTCAAAGATAGCATATCCTGTATTAAAATTGTTTGTTATTTAAAAGAGTTCATCTGCAGGATGAGAAGTCCGTAGAACATTCAAAAAAAATGATGGTTCCTGCTTTTGTGTGACAGCATCGATACCCACATCGAAAATTTAAAGAAAAGTGGAGCCTACCAGAAGAGCGAACTTCAGAAAAATACTAAGGTTTCTAGATATCAAGAATCTTAATTTTTTTATATCTGTAATGTTTAGATTTTTGGGAAGCATCCGTTTCCTTGTTTTCCATGCGTACATACATATGCTCATACGTATACGCATTAAGGCGGTAAAAAAAATCCGAGATGGGGTTAGGTGTACCTTTCAAAATTTTTCCTCTTGCCGAAAGAGCAGCTGGCACTCCTTACGTTTCTAAGTATGAATTTAGAGGGTGCTCATGATATGTAGAGGTATTTTGTACTGTTGGTTAAGCAACCTAAGAACATTTCAGATATATTAATTATTTAGCTGAAAAATATAACAAGCTTCAACTGTCATGGCAACAGTAGTTTTTTATAAAAACTCGCCAAATTTTTTTCAGTTTCTAAGAGATTCAGTGGCGCATTTCAAGGTATTTGAGCACCCTATATTGATTAGAGTAGAAAATTGGAATTTGGTATAGACATTACATTTATCACAAAAAAAACAACTGGGGGGTGCCAGACAGTGTTGCTATTTTGGTGCTTTTGGAGCTCCTAGCTTTTTTTAGCTCTTTTCAAATTTATCGAAATGCAGTGTATCCACCATCCATAAACTCTTGGATCTAGGTAAAATATTTCAAAAATTAATAAGAAGAAAATCCTCTTTCTGAAAGCGCGGATTTTGTTTTACCTTACTAATTTTACGTTTAAGGAGAGTTGGAACTAAAACTTTTAAGAAAAATTGTGCGAAGAATACATTCATAGACCGAGTTTTTATGGTCAATTGATTGCAGATCTTTCGTTGTTTTTATTAAAATTACCGAAAATGTAAGAACAAACTTACGTCAATGAATGCTAAACTTAAAAAAATAAATAAATTTTGTAGCTCTTCATTTTAGCTATTGTTAATACTATTTGCCTCTTTTTAGCTCTTTTTTTCGACCGTTTTAGCTCCAAACGACATTTTTCTCTGACAACACTGATGCCAAATACTAAAATCCATGGAATCTATAAGGCCAGCATGACGTATACACATATGTACATATATGTATGCATATGTAAGTATACTTATAAACATTAGGGTGCATCACCCTCATTACAAGAAGTACTGTTTTTTCACCGGAAATATAAAGCATATTACATTTTAAATCTTCTGCCAAAATATTACCGAAAAATATTGAGACTCAGATGAGCCGGACCTTTTTGAAAATACCTCCAAAAATTAAATAAATTTTTTAAACAATTTTCTAAAAAATTCTTTCAGGTGATGAAAGAGAGAGGGACCGAAGATAAAAGTTAAATATCAAAATTTTTATTATTAGATCATTGCAAAATCTTTATTTTTTTATTTAAATTTTTTCGATCAAAAATAATCGTTGAATTTGGTTATTTTATTTGTTCAGCCAAATTTAATTATTATTTTATGACTTTTATTTTTTCGAAAAAAATTCGTTATTTTGAATTATATTAGGGGTCTTCATATAAAGTGATAAAGGGATAAATTGCTTAAATTTATCAGTTTATCCGCTTTCTTTCATGAACGTACCTTGGTAAATATTTGCACAAAATTGTTTATTACATGTTTATCTAATCTGGCTAGTTACGTTTCATTCTTACCTCGTCCGTTATGCAAATTCTCTTTTTATGTTTTCGTAACAAAATCTACCACCTGGCAACTTGTCGGAGTGGAATTTTGCTAAAATCTATGCGTTTATCCACAAAAATCGTTTGATAAAATGATAAACTTTGGTTAAATAGATTTCCATACAAAGTTTGACAGTTCATTTATCAAAATGATAAATTTATAACTTTATCAAGTTTATCAAGAGTTTATCACTTTTGATTAAAACCCCTATTGTTTCAGTAATTCTTGACCGTTGTAATGGAGACTGAGTTTTAATGACCTATTCAAATCTTTTATGATCTTAAAAACTAAATCTGAAAATAACGCGTTTGAAAAACGGCCCTGAATATAAAATTCAAAAATTTGCGATAAAAAATAAAAATCATAAAATAACGGTTAAATTTGATAGAAAATATATAAGTCCAATTTTAATGGTTAAATTATGATTTTTATTATAAAGATCATAACCATTACGATCCCTGCTTTAATACCATGTACGGACCGATATCAAAACCCAGTTTTCGCTGAAAAAACATCACTCCCACATCCCACTCATTCCAATCGGTGCTCTAGTTTGTTCAATATATTTATTTTATTTTGAAATCAGAAAATAGTTAGAGATTTTTGCCGTTTTTCGCGTACCAATAAAATATAGTTACTATGAAAAATGGTTAAATACACAATTGGGTATTATTAGTAGGAATCTTCTTGAGAGAAACAGAGTTTTCCGATCGAAACGATTCTACGAAATGTTGTTTTTTCCATATACCATTTTTTTCAAAATAATTTCAAAATAAAAAAACAAGGGTATAATTTTTCGGCTTGAAACAACCCTAGGTGGTCAACGCATAAAATTTTAAATTATTTACCAACGGAATTTTGCCTTTTTTGGTTGTATTTTCAAATCGGTGCAGCTCGCGTAAAGTCTTAAAATATAATAGATTTCATAATGCCGATGTAAAAACGCCACTTTTTTGGGGATTCACCCTTATGTATGTACATACATATATACATAGGACTAAATTAACTCTTAGCACGATTAAATTAAAAAAATGATCGATAGAGAAAATGCGATTATTTGGCTGGGCATTAAGTAAGAAATTTAATACTCAAATGGTCTATGTATTTAAATCGGTAAAATAAATTAAAGTTAACTTTGACAAAAGGGGAATTCGAAAGGAACTGTACATAAGTTGTTTGTTTTTTTTTTTCTCGTTAGTAATGTTGATGAAGTAGTATTAACTTGTGGAAAGGTTAATTATATGCAGGACTAATAGGGCATAGCAAAGGAAATTCAAAACACTTGATGAACAAACGAACGACTAGAGGGATTAACGAGTAGTAACGATTATTATTATTTTGTTGGTAGGTAGGTAAGGTAGTTGGTACTTAGTATTTTTTATTGCGCTCACATTTTAATTGATTGATTTGACACATTTTGCGTGATTTCAGTGCATTAACAGTTTTGAGTTGGAAGACGAGAGAGAGAGAAAGAGAGAGGGAAGGATATAGTTAGTAGGCCAGCGAGTGCAGCTCTATGATTACCACACGCGTCCAAACACTTTGATGTAATTGCTGTAAATGCGTAAGTATGCTATTGTATAGATGTATGTTTGTATGTTTTGGTAGATGGTCGAGTGCGTGTTTGAAATGTGCATTAA